TGCCTTTAGCATTATAGGTATGCCTCCTTATACAACTCTTATATCTTTTATAGCTGCTAATATTATATATAGACGTCGTTCCGACTAACGTAGGCTACTTCTTCGTCGAAGAAGACGCTAGGGTATTCGTTAGACATTTCGACTACGTAAAACTTCCGGCCCGCGCTATAAAGGTCCCCTACCCGCTATACGAGATTAACAACTTTAAGTTATTAATCGCTGTCGACGAGGCTAGCAGCAGCAAGCGCTAGGTTTTACGCTTCTTAAGGGCGTATACAACCGAGACGAATATAGCGGTTACCGAGTCCACCCGTAGGCGCGAGGTTTTCTCCGAGTTTAAGCTCTTTAACTAGTAGAGGTTCGACTAGCATAGGGACGATACGGCGTAGTAAGCGGCTTAGTGCTAGTACACTAGTTTCGGAGCAAGATTATAAATCTAGGAACCGTGGATTCGGAGCCGTTATAAATTATTAGAAGGACGTAGATAAGTTCATAATTAAATTGCATACTACGGGCTAACGTTACGAACCTAACTTACGTAATAAAGCGCCAAGCTATTACTAACGACGTTACCTCTYTTAACTCCCGTCCTATAGGTTATATAGACATGCGAATATAAATGTATAACGGCTCTCTAATACCCTAGGTATCGTGCTATTTCCGATCGTACTTTAGTGCGCAAAATCACGGAAGGCAGCTAGGCACTACGATCTATAAGGGTTCGTCTACTCGTATAATAACGGTATGTAAATAGTGAAATTATAGTGGACATTTAAGTATAAGAAGCCTAGCGAGTAGACCGTCTCTATGCCGATATAGACCGCTAATTAGTTAGCTCTTAAGAAGTTACTTATAATGTCGGATTAAGGGAACCGGAGGTAAGAGTATAGATCTGAAATAGTGCTTTTCCTCTAGATAAAGTGCGTCCGTTAGATAGTTTCCTCCGATCGAGCTTAGTACTATAGACGGTATAAAACTCTTCTCCTAGAGTACGCCGGCTTACTAGAACGATTGCCTTCGAGCTCCTCTCGCCGAACGTAAAGGGCTTATATCCATATTATAGGTTTATAGTACGATAGAGATCGACTTTAGTTCTATCTACTCGCCTCGTTCTCGTACGGAGTAGCAGAAGCATTGTATATTAGATAATATCTATAACTGCTCTTATAGAATAAGGTATAGTGTACCTCTAAAAGGCAGTATAGGGGTACGGCTAAGATATGCCCTCTATTAAATATTAAGTAGGGGCACTTAAGATTCGAGTAGGGGTACATATAGCTAGTATAACTTTAGGCTGATTTTTATAGATACTAATAAGCAACGAGACTAATATATACCCTCTATTAAATATTAAGCAGGGGCGCTTAAGGTTTAAGATAGGACAGACATATACATCTGCTATAACTTTTGTAGACTGCATTAGTAAGGAAAGGGATTAGATACGATAAGCTTCTAAAGATCCTAGGAAACAGACAACATCTCGCACTCTAAAGAGCGCGAAAGTATAACTTAGGCAGAAAGCTAGAGGAAAGTCTTACCTTATAATCGTTAGGATTATATGGAATTTAGGAACGCTCGAGGGACTAATTACATACTATTGTTATTGCTTAGTAGAAACGTTGCAAAATATTACTGCTAGCTTTCTCTATATACTAATAGCTTAGACGCAAGCCCTACTCCTAGATGTCGTAGTAAGGGAAACTTATAGGCTAGTAACCTTACTATAAGAAATTCACGTACTATATAATCTAGGCTCGGCTCTAAGGGACGTAAGGGACTTAGAGCCGCCTACTATAACTGCTTATATTAAAACCGAGGTAATAGCATAAGACTAGAGAGGAGAACAATCTATATATGCGTATCGCGAGCGATTTAATTAGCTAAGGGAGCTCGGAGATTTAATTAGCTAAGAGAGCTCGAGAGATCTCGAGCTCTTTCGAGTAATTTATTTGCCTCCTTACTTCTTCTTTATATACTCCTTCTCTATACTTATTTATCTACCTTCTTAAGAACTTATACTATAATACCGTGTAGATATAATAGTAAGTTCACCTATCTTACGGCGGCGGTAATATGTTCTCCTACTAATAAGAGATAGTAGCTACTACTACTACTACTAGAGCCCTCCTTATAGATAGGTTTCCTAGCCTCTATTATCTCTCTAGAACTCGAATACGAATTCGAACGCGAAATAGCGGCTACTAAGAGCAGTTATTCCTTCGCTCTAGTTAAGAAAATCTCTAACGACTCCGCGACTACCGCTAATAACTCTAACGCCGCTATCGACCGCGCCTATATATACTACGCTATAGCTTACGCTTCGGATATATGCCTAGGTAGATATAACGACTTAAAAGAGCAGGAGGCGAAGAACAAGAAGAACGAGTAGCGTAAGGTCGATAAGGAAGCTGCTCGTCTAGCCGGCCCCTCCGTCGGAGTTCTTAGCCCGGCTTAAATTAAGTAGTTCCTTAACCTCGAGATAGATTAGATAGACGTCGCTAGCGTTTATCTTATAACCGAGCTAGACACCTTCGGCTTTAATAGTAATGTCGCCTAACCTTATAGCTATAGAATGTCGCTAACGAGATATAGATAAGGAGGATGTCCCTATCTAAGTTAGCTTGTTCTTCCGCCGTAACGGCGAGCTCGTCGCCCTATTSCGCGTCGACACCGGAAACTATAAGCAGTTTCCCCCGTACTAGACTATACCTATCGTAGAGAACAACTTCGGTAGCGTTATTAGCAGTACTAATGCGACTAGCTCCTCGCGTTAGTCGATTCGGTACTTCTAGCCGTTTAACTTCGGGGTTAGGATTACTACGGCGTAGCGCCGGCACTTAATCGTAAAGGACTATAAGGAGGAGTTTAGCACCCCTCCTACTAAGCCTACCCCTAGTAGCGTTATTTAGATAGCATAACTGCACATAGTTTTACGTCTACATAATATAGTAGTAGCTAGGTAATTGCGATTAGAATACTATAGCAAAGTTAGGAGGTCTATCGGTTAAGTTAGATAAGTATAGTATTAAGAATCTAGTTAAAGTAGAGCTACGGTATAGGCTAAGAGCTTATAAGAATCCGAGGTTAATACACACTACCCCTCTACTCTCCTTCTTAGCCTCTTAATTATAACAAGTTTCTCCTTATATAACGTATTAAAAAATACTACAGGCACCCTTAATAGAATGCGAGCACCCTTAATTAAATGTGAGCACCCTTAATCAAATATTAGAGGTAGAGAGGTGGAGACGCCAAGTAGTGGCGGGAGCTACGGAAATGAAAGCGGCGTTTCTAGCTTTCTGCCTAATGTATACTTTCGCGCTCGGTCTAAGCATTACAAATCTGCAAATTGCCATTTCTATATCGCGCTCCGCTACTCCGATTCCGTCGATTAGCCTACTCACTTATATACGATAACTCGTCCTATTTGCTGTACTAGTATATATATAACGGCGTTGCCTTCGGCGACGTCCTCGTAGTTGTAATCTATTACGGGGATTAGTAGGATACTTAGTGGGATCCGCAGCTTTACTATACTTACGCTTCAAGCTATATAAATGCACAAAATTGATCTCTCCGCCCTAATTACCGTAAATTTGGGATTTTGTTACCCTACCCCTAATATGTACGGGTACGTCTCGTAGGTGCTACTAGAGGGCACCCTCCGTATCGAAGGCGCGGTTGTAATCGTCGTAATTATAGGTAACGGCGTGCGTAGGCGCGTCTCGTAGGTGCTGCTAAAAGGCACTCTTAGTACCGAACGAGCGGTCGCACTTATTATAGAAAGTCGCTATAACTATATACGTAGTTTATTAAAGATGGTCTTAAGACGTCCGCCGAGATAGTCTTCTTTAGTACGTATAGGGCGCTTAGTTAAGTCGTAGTAGAAGTGTTAACCTATAGCTTATAGACACATATATGTTAAGGAAGGTTATAAGTTACTCGTAGAGCTACCTAGATAGCATCCTATTAGGACCTACCGTTTGTTCGTAATAGGGCAACTCACTTCGTAGCATTGCTTAGACATGTACTAATAGCGTAACAAGTGGGATGTAAGTATAGATGCGAAGTACATAAATGTAACATAGCCGGGCAACCTATACATACCCCTACTCTATACGTAAGTTCTAATTAGTCTAGGTAGCGGCTAGGAACAGAGGCTGCATTTAAGCCTATAAGGYTTCGTATAGGTCGATATTATATAGCAGACTATGTATAGATAGAAAAGCTGCTCGTTTCCACCTTAGAGCTAGATTATAGTCTCCGACGCCTCTTACTTAACCTATTCTACGTAGGAACCCTCGTCTAGCCGTACCGCGCTCGAAGTATTACACTCTATACAGTACTAAAAGTATACCCGCGTATTATAGCCTTCATCCGGAAATAGCCTAATAGTAATGCCTACATGCCTACTAAGCTAGCCCCGTGGCTTAAATAAATGGTTTCTACATGGGAATTAGCCGGTGATGTTGGATCGTAGGTCTTAATAGCGGTATCGTCTTCATCCTTCTCGTAGAATTAGAATGAAAGTTGGTTCGCATGGAATTGCTCTATAACCCGMCCGTGTAGCGATGTATACATGCACTACTCTACCCGCCACTACGTTACCAGCCAATCGCTTCTCTCTTGACTATATTTATATGTAGCTGAGCCTCGCGCGACCGCTCCACATGTGAGTAGCTCAATCCGTCGGATCTTGAACCACTTGCATGCATAGATTGACATGGGCGGCCGCATACTCTTGCATTCGCGACCTAGATAAACACGTCACTCGCTTGGCCCTACTCAATATCTTGTTTCCCTAACGCTCCTTGTTCCTCGAYGAAGCTCGWCACACACAGTTCGCTCTACTGGAGAAATTTTGCACCCCATTCGAGATACTACTGCTCAATATGAATGATAAAAATGACACACTTGCGCTTGACTTTGATAGTAACTCCGCAAGGAAATACCTAGCCRATTGCCTTAGCATGGATCTAGAGCGTTTCATGGTGCTGTAGCTAGACATTGCTCTGCGCATTCTTTATCACTCGAATACGTTGAGGTTGACAGCAGTGCATTAGAGATTCTTTGAGTTGCTGCTGAGAAGACCCGCACGTGTGGACACGGATTGAGACATCTAGGGCAGGCAAGCCTCGAGTTTCTTCGACAATTCTCTTGAACGTGAGGAACTCTGTGTCGGTAGGACTCGGCGAGTCTTCCAGTCGGTCTGGTTCGAGCGCATTGCCGAAAAGACGACGACATAGCTTTTTGTAGTCCTCTCCAGGCCGAGTGAGCTCTCTAAAATCCGTGAAAATAATTTTGCGAAGTTTTGAAAGCCTGTGCAGGGCAAGTCGAAGCAGTGCATAGTGCACTCCATCTTTGTGAACCCGGGTTTGGCGCTTCCACCTCCGGAAGTATTTATCATAACCCGCGTGCATGCCAGTAGCGTACATCGTGTCTGTATCGTAATGTTCCATTTCGCGCAAGCTGAGGTTTCCCGCGAGCGAGGCACAAGCCACGCCTACCATGCGACAAAAGCTTGTGTCGGCACGATTTTCCTCTGCTGTCTCCATGTCCTGGAATTCTCTCCCTGATTCCTCGCAGTACTGAATATAATTTTCGAAATCTGACGCCGTGGATTCGTCATAGGAGCTGGCGTCCCAAACAAGCTCCGTCACATATTTGTTCAATTCTGGGTGWTGAATGACACTCCAAAGCCGGCGTAGTGAATCTGGACGCTTGGCGATGACAATCTTAGGAACCAGCAGATGCAAGCTGTGGCGGTTGAAGTCCGTCGAGACAAGGCGTATATTGCCGATGTCTTCGCGGCTCGGGAGACGTGCGAATATATTCACTAGGAGCTTAGGTGGTAACGTCTACATGAAGCACATTTCGTAAGAGGCTCGAGAGAGATAAAAGTGTGCGCGAGGGAGAGTATAGAGGCCGGTTTTGTACTAAAGAGGTCTCTAGGAACCTCAACTACTATTTATCCTTAACAGAGACATTAAGATGTTAGTAGCGAAGCACACTAACGGGTAATAAGGCGTATACCGATTGGACCACCTAGCTGTAATCGGCGAAAGGGCCCAGCGTCTTCTATATGTGTTCGCTTAGGTCGGCGGCTAATTACAGAATTTGTGAGGAATGACGCCTCTACTAGTCGACGGCTCTAGTGTCTAATTAATCGACAGCTTTTTAGGATTAACTAATTATTACTGTCTTTATAACGACGTGGGTCCCCGTTATCTACTAGAGCGTCTACGGCTACGCGCGGTTCATCTTTTAGTTACTAACGATAGTAGGAGAATTACARTTAGAATTTTCGAAGGCCGATAGTAAGCAGTTCGTTAGATAGTTGTTTTACCGCCCTCCTAACCTCCCCCTTCGTATAATAAGACATTGCTCTCCTAGCTATAGGAGAAGCTATTTGTTTAAAAGCTGCGCCTTTGTTATGCCTAGAAGAAACGTGTCGAGCTATCTAGTCGTCTTATCGTCTTTGCTAGTATTACCTCTAAAGCTACCGACAATCTATCTACCGTAGGCCGCTTAAAGCAGAATGTTATCTAATGCTACTCTCGTTAATCTAGGTCTTGCAAAATAATCCTTGTTATACGCCGTAGACTATTAGAGTTTACCTAAGTTCTATCTCTAGGCATAAGCTTTACTATCTATGTCGATTACTTCGTAAAAAGGGCCTATATACGAGCTAATGTAAGATTCTCGACCTACCCGCTATAACTGCCTACGTTAGAACTCCGTCTAGCGCATACGGTTGAACGGGCTACGCTTAGTAGTACTAGATAATCTCCCTCTATCGTCGTTACGTTTCCTCCTACCGCTATCGGTCTTGTTCTATAGCGCTTCGCTATTACACTATGTAGTTAATGTACTCTCTACGTATATAGGCTTAAAGCGTCTTCTGAATTTTATAATTCCGCCGTATATCTGCTAGGAAGCTCGTTCGTTTAGCAGACTCTCGTTCCTACTCTAGTTTCATTTTTGTACGTAGCTTATTACCCTACTAAATAACCTCTCGTATCTCCGCTAACAGGCCCCTTATTTCTTGTGTAGATGCTTCTTGTACTTTGCGCTGTACCTTAGAAGCTCGTCCAAGCTTTTGTAAAACCCCTTACAAGTTATAATMGTAGTAGCACTACACGTCGCGGTTCGATCTTAAGGGTCGATCCTAGTCTTCGCAATTTGTATAGTAGCATCGACACGGGCTGTGTTTAGTCGAAGTCGGACAGTAATAGGGTTGCTTCTAAGGACTATATGTATAAGCCGTACCGGACAGGCGATTTTCCTCGCTGTCTTCTAATCGTACTGTTCTAGGGTGGCTGTTTCTGCTTACGTACTTGCTTTTCTTTATTCGGCGCGGAAGATAATCGAACTCGTTATAGATTTTTGTGTACACGCTAGGGCCTGAGTTGTTTCGATAGCGGTCCGTGTTTTCGTTCGTATTAAAGATTATAACTTTAGGTAGAAGCAAAACCTAGACCTGTCTACCTATTACCTGTTAAGAAGCCTATAGGCACAACGCCTAATTATTAGTAACAACTTTCTACGGAAAGGCCAACTCGTTAGAACATAACTAGGGACAGGCTTAAATATAATTAGTCTCGATATATAATTCCCCTGGATAATTAGATACGACTGTTTGCTCATCTATAATGTGTTCCTCTAGACTATATAAGTCTTAAGGGGTAACCGGTTTTACGTACGCAATCGAGGTTTTAACGAACGGTTAAATAAGAAACCAGGATAATATATGTTATTGCGCCTCGGTCTAGCGGCGTTAGGATTCGCCAGGGCATTATTGTACGCACGCCTAGTTCAGAACCTAGGAGGTAAATTCTGGCTTTTAGTTTCGTTAATATAGCGAGGTTATAGAGCTGCTGTCTTAGGTAGAATAGTACTATAAACTAGTAAGGAATTACTAGAGAAGTCCTTAATCCAGGGAGGTGATATTAGAGCAAACTTTACTCAAATGACATTAATAGCCTAATTAGTATTTTTTGAGCGACCTACAGCCCAGCTAGCTTAGGCACGATGCTAAGAACTCTATAGACTCAAATCTAGACTACGTGTTTCATAAATTGTGTGTTAGCTACAAAGCTATGCAATAGTAGTATACAAGCGCAAGTAGCAAGCACTTAACGTGGCTCGATTTAATAATCTACGTAGAACGCTAGCACTAACACCCTTACTACTCGGATCCTTTCCCGCGGGGAAGCTAGAGAGCCCTACTACTAATATTAGTACTATACCGCCCTCTAGCACCCCTAAATCAAGACTAATTCAGTCTATTTTAGTCCTATATCGTTTATACTATATCGGTAAGTAGTCCGTATAAAAGGTGTTGTTTTAGCTGTTGTTTTAACGCATTATAGGAACCTCTAAGGGCAACTAGCAAACGGCTAGATAACGCCCTTTACTACTAACTACGYATTGCCTTCGATACTACCGATAGTAGTAACCGCGYAATTAGTAAGGCCTATAGTGTTTCTTATCTAACAATTAGTAAGATACGCCTCTCTTACGAGCTGTTTAGTACGCCCTATCTACCTAGAGGTGTCCGTATTAGCCGTCCGCCGTTCCTTACGCTAGATTAAGAGGACTCTTTCCTATAGTATATGTATTCGTAGCCGGACGCCTACGCGGATAAGATAGCTTAGTAGATATTCGACAACACTAGCGTAGTGTTTAGCGACCGTAGCGTATACGCGCTATTAGTAAGGCGTAGATAGACTCGTAAGGTTGCTAGAAGCATCGCTAGAGAGCGTAATAAGGCATTACGGTCGTATTAGCGCGCGAAAAGCGCCGGTTAGAGGCGTAAGGACCTAGTGTTTATCGACGAGTTAGCTTGTAACGAGCGGAATAGCTATAGGTAGGTTATTGTCGCTATAAGGATAAAGCTGTAGTAGTTACGAAAGTTAGTGTTTTAGCTTAACTAATAACACACTTAGGAAGTACTCTTAGTTACTAATTAGCTATCCTATAGATACACAATCGCTAACTAAACGCTCTAAACGGTAGTTACTAGTACCTACATTTACGATAAACGGCTACCTCGATAGGCCGTTATTAAAGTAGGGAGCTATTACCTCTAAAGACATCCTTAACTAGCTAATTTATGTTGTTTTGCCTTAACTACTAACTAGTATAATCCTTATTATAGACAACGCTTTAATCTACCGTAATAAAACGATTAAACAGGCTATTCGATAGGCTAGTTGCTTCCTAGAGCTATTACTACCGTACTCTCTAGACTATAACCCTATCGAATAGTCCTTTAACGTCCTTAAGTTATAGATAAAACGACACCGAGATAAAGCAGCTACGTACGCTAATTTCGAGGACTTTCTTATCTACGCTATATAGGAACAAGAGTTCGAAATAACGGTAGTTAAGCACTTCGAGAAGAGTAGTTACCTATAGCTCTATATTAGAAGTTGTATAATCTTTATCTATTGCCTTTACCGTTAGCTAGTCGCATTATATATACGTAGGAAGCTCTAAATCCTTAAGTGTAGCAAGCCTCTCTTTAAGTCTATCTAATCGCATTAATATTAACGATATTACCCTAATTGTCCTCTCTAAAGTCTCTTAAATTGCCGTAAGTTACTTATCTCTAAAGATAACCGCGAGTTCCTCGTAGGTTAGTAGTGTAGGGAATAGTAAGGACGTAGTAACTAGCGGTAAGGACGGTAGAGCGCATAGTAATAATATATCGAACTTGTTAGAAAGTGTAGTTATAGAATAGCTGTACATCTGATATAACAGAGAGCTAAGTGGCCACAAGGTCACATAACTCTATATAGGGTAAAATCTCTTCTTAGGAGATAGAGACACATCTCTAGATAATTAACTTAATTA